GATTACATCCTGCTATCTTTGATAAACTTCTATCATCTACAACAATATAGTGCAGTGTTGGTAATACTTGCCCTTTTCCTTCCGTGAAAATCCTTTACACTGCAGTGATCTTTATTTCACTTCTGTACCACAAATAGATAATTACTGTTAAAGTATAGTTTCATTAAAAAACGTGGCGTCTGTCTGTCTTTTCTTCAGCGATGCAAGGTAAGCAAGAGGATCGCATTTATAAAATGTGCCAGGACTCAAAGAAGCAGAGTTTCATGCATTATCTGTATATATACCGCTTGACTGTTTAGGTTCGAATACGTTTATCTAGGGGATAAGTGCAGTTCCCTCCTGGCTGCGAATCATGCTGCCTTCTGCCAGCAGACTAGAGGGAGAGAGCGCGTATGGAGACGTTTACATATTGGGCCCGGAAGCTGAGGTCCTGTTCACACCGCCTGCGACGCTGCAGTCTCGCATGTCCGTCAGCGACTCCCGCCGACTCATTCCCCTGCATCTGCCGTCATGTGGGAGGGAGACTCCGGCAGTTCCGCGGCACCGCAGCCCCCAATCCCACGCCCCCCTCCCGCGTTGCTGTGACGAGTGGGCGAGATGGCGGAATACAATTAAAACCGCGTCGCAGAGATGCAACCGTGGGGTACCTCCGCAGAGCCATCCTGTTTCCATAGCAACGCCCAGTTGCTGGGATCCATCTGCACTCCGCGTGTGTGGCCGTCACCCATGGCGAAGCCCCCCCACCCCCCGGGGCGTCCCCTCCCACGGCCTCGGCTGTGCCGAGGGGTCCGCTTCGGAGCTGGCTCGCCAAGCCTATTGGGCAGCGACACGGGACCGGCGGAGAGCAGCTGCTGCTGCTACTGCACTCAGGAGGATGAGAGGGCGTTTGGGCGGATGAGTCAAGGAGCCCCCCCCCCACACCATGCAGGGGCGATCTCCAGCCCATCGCTGTCAGGAGGACCGGCAGCCTGCGGTGCCCGGCCCCAATCCCGCACGATCCACCTAGTCCTGTAATACCCCTGTACTGACCGTCTAAAACAAGTAATCCATTTTTTAATCCACCAATTATGGAATCCACTCCTACCACAATGAATTTTAAGTAATTTATTAGAGTTATAAGTTTAGATTTAAGATCCCAAAGGAACCTGGAATCTAGCAACATGCGCAAAGATAACACTATGTGCTGTATGAGGGCCACCCAGTCCCTTCCGGGGAAAATGCAGCGAGGACACTGCAGCCACGGGATGGCGGTGTGCATGCAATACCTGCTCAGGGCCAGCAGTCACAGTCTGACTACATTACAAGGCATGATTCTCTCCCCACATCTCACAATCCGAGCCTGGAAAGTCAACACATTCCCTTGTAGATGGCGAGCTCTGATTTACATCCCCCCCCCCCCCACTTCTCAACAGGTCCTATTTTTAAGCTCTTAGGCTAAGTATAAAGCCTCGATGCTAATGTCCCGTCTTCTGATGTGACATGAAACCCACACGCTACACGAGTTGCTACCCGATGAAACCTATGTCCTGGACTTATGTGGGCATACTAGCGCTCTCATGCGTGACAAATAAGATTATCAAACAAGAGCTCGAGCAAAAAAAAAAAAAAAAAGCATTTCAGTGGAAGCAATGAAGCACCTGAGTCAGTCAGGTGTCGTCAGAGAGCAGCCATTAGTGAGAAGCGCTGCCAGCTCTTTCCGGAATGGTCTTTGCTGGAGAGCCTTGCTTCCCACTTCTGTCCCCTGAATATCACCCTTTAAACGGTCGGAATCTCTTCATTTCCAACCCCCCCCCCCCCCAACCCTGCTTCTTGCCCATTATATTCTCAACCGCCTGTAAATTCCTCATTCCTTGGTTAATAGGCATCTACAGAGAGGATGTGTGGATCCTGCATCCCCTGTGTCTTGTCCTTTAGGTAGGAAAAACTTCATAATTACTGCCTGCTGGTGCCTGCCGGGAGCAGAGAGAGAGCTCTTTTAGGACGTGACTCATCCGTCCATCGCCACGCCACCCTCTTCCCTGACCTTCGATCTGCCACGTGCACACACGTGTGCACACACACACGCACACACACACCGCTGCGCCAGCACACATTTCGTTTTCAGGCACGAGGCCTCTCCCTACCTCTGCTGCAAACAGCACTTCTCTACACAGAGTGTAGTTACAGTATGGAATAGCCCTGTCAGCGTAGCGGAAGCTAAAACCCTGGGTTCCTTTAAATCAGAGCTAGATAAGATTTTTACATCTCTGAGCTATTAGTCAAGTTCTCCCCAAAAGAGCTTGATGGGCCGAACGGCCTCCTCTCGTTTGTAAATTTGTTATGTTCTTAACAAATTGCTGGAATGTGCCGGAAAGGTCACGTGGCCGGAGATGGCCGAACCTCTGCAGGTCCCCCTCCATGTGGCTCAGCGTCGCTTCTTGACTGCCCCCCCGTGACATGTGACTTTCGGGCTCCACGCTGTCAACTCTGCCAAAGACATGGGTATCCAGATTGCTCAGGCCCCCTAACTCACCAGCACCCACCAAAAGGGCTCCTCCTACTGGTGACTGAAAGCGCTGTGGGGGCTGTGGGGCTGAGAGGGGCGTAGCAGCAGCACAGCAGCTGCACAGGGTCTGTCACCCCCTTTGATGTCCCCATGAAGAGTCTGCGTGGGCTGTTAAGCATATCCAGCTGCCTCTCACTACTCCGCCTCAGGTCTCTGTGTCTTTTTAAAAGCGCAGATCAGGCTGGTCAGGGCAATAAGACCTTAAAAGGTGGACATACTGGCTGTCCTGAGTGTCTATGGCTTCGCAGTCCTTCCTGTTTAGGGGTAAATGTTCACACCGTCGGGCTTTAAGACGAACCAGCAGGAGTCCTCCAGGGACCCGTGACCAGATCAGGGGATAGCTGCAGCTTCTCGATAATGATGAAACTCACAGGTTCTTTCCACATGTCATTTTTCAGTGTTCACTGTGACACCCTGCTACCCCCCACACACACACACACACACACACACACAGCATCACCATGTACTCTATACCACCAGCTTCCCCTGCGTATGGAGTTTGCTGCTGATATTGGTGCAACTTAGTTGCCAGGGAAACACCATCCTTGCAGGCTCCATCTTCTTTAAGTTGTCAGCCTCTTGTGTTGTTCCGTATTCGTGTGAAACCGTTTACGCGCTGCCGATAAAATGCATTTCCGTATCTTTTTTTTTCTGAAATAGACCCAACAGCGACACTTCAACATTCCTCTGCGCCCCTTTGAGCACATACGTGCTAAACAAGACGGTGACGTTTTATCTTATGTAACTGTACACCGGAAAAGAATATTTAAATGATCATTACTCCGGCCATCTCCCATTCTCTTATTATTTAAGTATTCAGTCGAGGCTTATATACAATCGACACTAGATCACAGTAAAATAAAACTCCAGTATAAAAACGACAACGAATCAATGAATAAGAGATGCGCCTGATCTTATATAAGGAAAAACATCTAAACTACGTTACATAACCATTATAAACCGTTTGTGATATATTATAACAGATTTTAGTGATTCAAAATAAGTGCGAATTTTGTCACAAAATAAATATTTTAATTTGAAATGTGTCGCATCTCACTTTGGTCTAAGATGTATAACCATCCGATTCAGTGAAATTCTGGAACAATACAAACACCTGACCAGCAGTATGCCGTCGGAAACAGGACAGAGACGTTTCTCTCTAATACGGGCTTTTTAAAAGTTGGGTGAGTGAATTTGTAGATGTCATAGCCAGTGAAATTCTGAATAATAAAAATTTGAGATGATCAGTCATCCAGCGGAAACATCTTACTTAAGAGTCTATATATATAACAAACAACCGAGTTTCTAGACAAGCGGGGAGGACTCCGTGAGTCACGGCGGACTGAGGCGTCATTTCTAAACGCCCTTCATGCAGAGCCGCCCACCGGCGAAGGCCTGCAGCACCGGGCGCTACGGCGCCCCCTCTGCCGGGGGGAGGCGCTTCGGCGTACAGCACGAGTTAGATCACATTTGTAGAAGAACAGTCCTTCACAAACAGTCGAATAACTACTTAAAACTACATAAATGCTTTACAAATAATAGGACGTCCCTAAATATAGACGTTAAAATTAGATGATTCATTAACGGGAAATACGCATAGATTACTAAACAGGCATAGATAATCAGAGTAGCTATGTACACCGCTAAATTATAAGAAAATAGTCTTGGTAAGTTAATGTGATACCAGATACCAAATACAAACGCAACTCACCTCCACAATACATCGACACCTTTGCTTGCGACCTATTAGGCTGTATATTTACCAATATTTCCCGAATAGTACTGAGACCACATTAAAAGTGCCCCTTAAACACGTATTTTTCACACTTGTTACGTCTGTAACCAGTGGATTTAATGCTAATGTTGGATGTAGGGGTATGTTTATGAGGCTGTTTATTGATTACCTTTTTACAGTTATACTAATTGACCCTGGTTACCTTGATGAGGCATTCTGGCACTTGGCCCTGCCTGCTTTGACCCTCCGATCTGGTACCGGTAAGTGGGCGTGATTACAGCCAGAACAGGTGTTTATTCTGAGAGGAACCTTATCGTCGACTGTCCTTAACAATAATCCGTACCGTCTATCAACGGTAGCCTCATGTGCTAGTGCAAAAGTCGACATTATAAAATTCTGGTAGCAGTAATTGTCTTGTTTACTCGTAGATGGAGGGGAAGTTGAACGTTGGCTAGTGCGCACACTTTCTGGGGGAGGGGAAGCCTGATAGGTCTCGGCACCGGATCCACGAAATGCCGCTTCCAACCCCGCCGAAATAAATAAAAGATAAAAGATAATAGATAGATAGATAGATAGATAGATAGAATTTAATGTCCATCATGAGTTTAACATATATTTATTATTTATTTAATCACTGCAGCTCCTGCACACGGTTAATGTCCAGCGAAACGCAGCGGTCCTGGCTGGCACTGCCCAGGACTGTAACTGCTCCCCCGGCTATATTTGTCAGCAGCTGCCGCATCGCTTACTAAGCAGGCATGAGTACGACGGCTAATTTTACCGCCAGCAGCCATCGTGCGCACGATCTTTAGTACGTCAAAGTAGCAAAATCCTCAGAAACGGCTCCCCGGCACCAAGGTATCATAACATTTCTTCAACGCAAATAAGGCAAAAAACAAAGTTTTGTTTTTTTTTCGCGAACATAATATTTCGACAAGGTATGACGGAGTTTAAGTCAGACAACGTGAGTGTGTTTTGCTTGGAGACGGCGTTTTCATTAGGCATGTTTTGAATTGTTTCAAATTAATTTCTAAGAGCTGACCGGCATAACTTTTTTTACGAACTTGATAACATCTATTTTAGGAAGGCGCTAGGGCCACGTTTAAGTATAGTAATCGTGTCCATACCGTTTATACTACGTATTGTACTGCTGTAAAATGTAGACATTATGTGGTGTATTGGACAGTACGTGTCTGCATTTCTTTTATCATTATCAGTGATTTGTGTGAATGATTTCTTTGTAAGCTTAGGTAAAGCTTTTTTGCTTACTAAATTGGTAACAGGCCTTACAACAACATATAAGACTGTATTACTCCATTTTCCAGTTTTGGGTCTCAGAGTGTATAATAAAGTACATTTATTTAAACTAAGGACAACCATTTTTTGTTCTGCAGTATTAGATCGCAATAAAAACATGAAATGTTCTGATCTCTCCAGGTCCTTCGGGCAGAAAGAACTGGCGTGCCTCCCTTAAAAAGACAGATCTGTCAGTATGCAGGAGCAGGATCTGTACAATGCAGAAGAGGGCAGCGCTGAGGACCAGCGGGGGGTTTGGGGTGGCAGCGCTGACGGAGAGCCAGACAGAGAGCTGCGTGTCCCGGGGAAAGCGGAGCGACACGGCAGACAGAGCAGGACAAAGATCGCAGAAGAGAAACGCCTAAAAGAAAAAAAACGAGTCACTCCGCCACCCTCCACGTTCCAGCGCTTCTCGGTGGACACCAATGAGTCTCTGCACTTCGAGCCTTACATCCCGTCAGACGAGGATGAGCCGCGATCACCCAGCTTCAGGGGAGCAACGGTGTTCAGCGACGAGGTTTTCGAGGAAGAGGGTGAAACGGAGGAGGGGCCACCGACGGAAGATGCGGGTGGGAGCAGGGTGGACCTTAAAGAGGGGCTCGGGGGACACAGTGAAAGAGACCCCCCCGACGTCTTCTGCATGGACTGCAAGGTGCCCACCCAGGCTTCCCAGAAGCTGTTTGGACCTCACAAGGACCATCGGGTGATCCAGATATCCAGAGCGGCAGACGAAGTCAAGGTAACATGACATACGTCCAGAAGGGGTTCAGGGAGACCTCTTCATTGACAATGTAGGATAAACGAGGTTTTGAGGAACCATTAAGAAATAAACAGTGTGAGGACCCTGTATTGATGAAACAATAATAATGAATATTGCCCAGTTGTGAAAGAGGGCAATAACTTTTAAATGCAATACCCAGAAGTTATTTTAAAAAGTAGTAGAATCATCACTTGTCACAAAGAGCCCTGCATGATGTCCCTTAGTGGTGTTCCCTGTGGGCTGCTGATTACAGCTGTACATCCCCTCTTCCACCCCAGGAAGACCTTCAGAAGGGAATGCACAAGCTGGAGGAGCAGATTGGCCTGATGGAGAACTTTGCAAGCCACTTGGAGGAGATATTCATCACTGTAGAAGTAAAAATGGAATGCCTGTTAATCAGTGGGTTGATGGAGTGTCACACTGCACTAGAATTCATGCTTGGGGGTGTTTAGTGGGGACTCTCCAAAAAGAAAGATCCAGACGGGGGAGATTTAGAAACATAGAAACATGGTCCATTGCCCATTGGTCAGGTGAGGTGAGGTGAGGCATTTTTCGGAGACCTGGTCAATCAGGGAGGATGAATATTTTGTCACACCTCAGTAAGGCCACAGTTTCCATCTCCAGTTTCTGATCTCAGTCAGGATGACTGTTCTGTATACAGTGTATCTCTCCTCTTTGACAGCTATACTGTGTATTGTTTGATTTCAATCATTTGAATCATATTTATTATATAGCACATTGAGAGGCACCTTATTGCCTGTGCTAATGGTATTTCAAGGCCAGTCCCCTCCAGTCGAGGTCTTAAGTCCCGTTACCCTGTACGGTTTTTGACCGTCCCAGATGAAAGATTACCAGTGTGAAAGAATCGTGGCGATGTCTTTGGCCGTGACTCCAAAATGGTGGCCCTGCATGGCACTGTGAGAGAGGTGCAAGGATAAACACTGTCACAGTCTTACGACCAAAGATAGGCTGGGACATTTTATATGACTGGCTGTCAATGTGACTGCTGTTATGACCGACGTCTACTAACCAACCAACGCTGATGACCACTTAGTCTTGTATATAGACTCGCGTCATAGCCTACTGTTCAGTAGGTGTTATCATCGTACAGTCTACATTGATGTAATACTTATATTTATTACATCATATGTCGCACAGTGTGGCTTATGCGATTGCTGAAATCACATAGTCCATAGAAGCCATTAGTTAGGGGACTCGGGTAGATGGGGGTGAACTGGACCCGTATCTGTGCAGGAGAACTTTGGCAGGCAGGAGCAGAACCTGGAGCAGCACTACAACGACGTGCTGCAGGCCCTGTCCCAGCGCAACGAGCAGGGGGCCGCCCAGCTCCAGGACGACAAGAAGCTGAAGCTGGAGGCCTTGTACACACAGCTGCTGGAGTGTGGAAAAACCCTGGACGTGTCCAAGGAGCTGATAGAGGAGGCACAGCAGATCTACAGGGACGAGGACAAGACAGCATTCCTGCAGGTCCGCCACTGGCAACTTCGGAACATATGATGTTAATATAGCCCTGTGCTATTAGAGAGACGGATCTGGATTTTAATTTGAAAACATAAAATGTCTCTTAACAGGCTGTCACACCTGCATTACGGAGGTAATATGACCTATGCTATTCAGCGTGAGTATAGATGGCTTGTTGGCTGGAATAGCCCTCGCAAGCGAAGTCGGCCGTTGCATTGGAATGCCCGCAAAGCATGCAGGGAGCTGATTACTGAGACTGCTAACCTGCATGCATGAACTAGCTTCTAAGATGGGAGTCTGACCCTCTCTGTCTTTTCGAAGCATTTTTACAAAGTTCCATCCGATTTTTAACAAGTCTTGTTCCTGAAATAAGTCATAGGTTGCTGAGTGAGGTGTGTCGTGACATTTAACATTTATGTGATGCTTCCAGGCCCCCATTCACGGTTTGGTATTAATGCACACATGCAATTGTCTTGAAGCAGAATAGAAGAATTGTCCCAAGATGAGTCAGAAATCAAGCTGTCATCCTCCATGGACTTTGAAAATACTCCAGTGGATTTCTCAGATGTTAAGCAAATGATGGATTCAGTCAATATTCTCCCAGGTTCAGTGACTCCAGCTTTCCTTACAACCTTGAATACTCAATTAATTGACTATTCTCAGAGCATTTACAATTACGTGGAACAAAAGAATTTGAGTTATATAGCTTATGATGTGCTACTGTATGTGTTTCAGCCCTGTCTGAAGACACAGTCCCTTTAAACCAGGGTTATTCAACTCACGGTCCTCGAGGTCCGAGCACTGCTGGTTTTCCAGCCTTCCTTTACCTGTCAGTCAGGTGTGACGCCTCTGACCAATCAGAATCAGTAATTATTAAACAACTACCTGGGAGAACTGAAAACATGGCCTGGATTAGGAATCGAGGTCCAGAGTTGAAGAATCCTGCTTTAAACTGATGAATTTGTTTCCCAATCCAATCCTCAGGGACCCATAGATAGTCCATCAGGTGCTGGGAGGGAGCAAAAATGTGGACCGTCTATTGGTCCCCGAGGACAGGATTGGGAAACGCTGCTCTAGGGGCATAACTGAGCCATTGATATGACCCCTGTTCTGTTTCAGCCCCCTCAGCCCCCGTCATCAATCCCCAGGTCCCCAACTCAGCCTCAAGCACGTCGGCGCGTGTGTGCTGGAGCCTGTTCTCCAATGACACTGTGGATTTCTACGACCTGCATTACCATCCTGTGCTGGATGATGCAACGTTCACCGGCCTGCAGGCCCCAGACGGTAAGGGGGGGGGGTAGGACAGTGTGACACGCCCAGTATTTAAAATGGCCAACAGCCTTCACAAGTCTGACCAAAAACTGTGTGCTCAAGTGGGCTGTGCTCGAGGTCTGTGCTCGAGGTCTGTGCTCGAGGTCTGTGCTCTCCATCTTTGAGACGTGTTAAGGCCATTTCACACCGAACGCAGCACGAGAAAATGACACTAATTCGCCGGATCAGTAACTTTCACACCAAACATGATGCAAAATTTTCGCCAAAAAATTGAGAAAAGTTCGCATAACGAAAGGAATTGGCGACGCATGCTAGCATCAGTGACAATGAGTTTTTCTGGTTTCTTTTTTGCAAACAAGTGAAAAGAAAAAGGTGAAGATACTGATACATTCAGTTCTAAAAAAAAGCTTAAACTTTACAATGACTCTCAGATGGTATTGGATATTGAGTGTATACAGATAGGTTTATAAATCAAGCAAAAATACAAATTGTACTACAATATACCACAGGTAACCCTGCCAATACTTATACATTTGTTATATATTAATGGTTTAATATTATCCCTGAAGCATATTATAAACCTTAACAAACTAAGGAAAAACAAGCAAAACTAAAACAAAAACATAAGCAAACAAGCAACCAGATCAGCTGCAAAACAGCGTAACGTACCCTTTTCCATCAAATAAGACCAGCTAGCAATGATATGTGGATCGACATTCTCTTGATTGGAGAGTTTTTATTTTGAGAATCAATTCTAATGATAAAATTTCATTTTTTTCCCCTTATAATTTAAATGTTAATACTATTATAAGGAGCAAGATATGAACCACTATTGGCAGGGTTACCTATGGTATCGGCCATCATTACTGGCTAGTGTTGTTACCCAAATGAAAGGTTTTGTTCCTATTTAAAAAAGTTGCTTACATCCTACTGGTCGTTTGCTTTTGATCACATTGAAAACTGCAGCTGAGTCGAGGTCTCTCCGAATAAAAAAAATGATGGCTCGTGAAAATGCAAAATTGTCAGACTACGTATCAAAGACTTCATTGAAATATGTTTGTTCATTTCAGAATGATGTCATTTGTTTATTTTTTTTTTGGTGGAAAAATCAGACTTGGTGTGAAACAACCTTAAGTGTTTGGGCTGGGTGATAGAAGCAGGGGGTACAGAGTAAACACGAGTTGAGAAGAAGCTGAGAAAGATCCGGAATCAGCACGCTTCCTTTTCCTCTGCTTTCTATTTCCCATGATTCACCTCTCCCAGGACACCTCTCAAGGATATAAGCACTGAGCATTTGTGAATGATGCTTTGTCCCGGTGAAAAGTGTGTCTGTGAAATCCAGACGATTAAGAGGAGTCCAGACCTGGACTGGGCTAGCAGCCAGAGCTTTTGTCAAAGCCAGTGTCAGGTTTCATCTCAAGGACTTTGCTGGCTCTGAAAGATCCCTGTAGGCAGCTCGTCCAGGAAGTTCAGTGGTTCCCGCAACGTGGCCAATGGCTGCTCTCATCTTGTCACCCCCAGCGTTGGAGATCAGGGTAAAGGAGACGTACTGCACCGTGACGGAGCTGCTGCCCAACGCACAGTACGAGTTCTGGGTGACGGCGACAAACACCACAGGCGTGAGCCCCGCCAGCGAGAAGGCTGTGTACATGACGGGTAAGGGGGCTCCTCCACAGGTGACCCCTCCTTTTAGGTGACCCTGCCCCGCCTCTGAAAGCATCCCCCCCCCCCCCCACCGCAGTACCCTCGCCTCCCATCATTAAGCCACGGGAGTGCGCCAGCTGTCCCGAAGCGGCGCTGATCCGCTGGCCCCCCCCCCCCCCCCCCCACCGCAGTACCCTCGCCTCCCATCATTAAGCCACGGGAGTGCGCCAGCTGTCCCGAAGCGGCGCTGATCCGCTGGGAGTCCGGCAACGCCAACCCTGTGGACTCCTACACCATGGAGCTGAGCGAGATCGGGGCTGAGGGAGGCGCCAACGCCGTGACCGAGTGAGGCAGCCTCGGCTGGGGGAGACGGACGGGACACGCGGGCTCAGATGGGTGGATTCCAGTGGGCCGCAGTGGGCCGCAGTGGGGCGTAGAATGTGTGATGCCGTTATTCACACACTGCTTTGCTCCAGCACTGACCGCCAGCCCCGCTGCGGGTTCGCCATACCACCCATGCCTCGCAGACTCATTTTGCACGTACGGTACGGTGACCCCCTCCTTAATGTCCCCCAAGGTCCATAGTGGCCGTCCCCACCTGCGAGTGCCTTGTCCAACTGCAGCCAGGTCGGCACTACTCCATCTGCGTCAGGGCCGTGAATATCGGGGGTCCCAGTGAGCGCAGTGAGCCCATCATCATCCAAACCACAGGTGGGATGCCCCCCCCAAAATACACTGTCTGTCATTCATGTGCAGCTAAAACTGCAGCTTCTAGGGACCCACAGAGTATCACCCAAAGCATGCATGTAGATGACCTAGCACCACTGAACCTTGAAACTGTGCGTCTATTCCTGCTGAGTTAAGCTGTTGGATCCCTGCATAAGTGCCTGGAAGATGGATGCACGTGTGTACAAACACACACACACACACACACACACACATCTAACTGCGCTGGGTTTCACCCTTTGGGACGGCAGGCACATCCTTCCACCTGTTGGAAGACACTGCCCATCCCTGCCTGTCCATCTCCAGCGATGGCCTCACCATGTTCTACACCGACGAAGACTTACCCCTCAGCGGCATGGTTTTCAGCGACAATACCTTTGCCCGGTACGTCCTCCGAGGCCAAGCAGAAAACTCATGCAGTTCACGTGGAGAAAGCGTTACATCTTTCTCACTAAAACAGCATGGGGGAGTTAATGACTTAAATGTAAGAAATACATTAGACATCAAACTGCATAATGTAATCAAGTAATCAGGAAAAATGGCAAAGTAACAAGTAGTAAAAAATCACTACAATCTTGGCTGTTTAACAAAGTCTTGCTGTTTAAAGGGAATCAAGGTCCTGTCTGCATATTTCTGCTGTTTATAATTAAAGTTCACGTTTGAAAATATCGTTATAAAAAAGCAGGGCGAGCAGCTCATAGTGCAGGCATACACCTGCCGGCAGACTGTCTGCTCTCTGAAGCAGGGCACCAGATGTAGTCGCAGATGGACCTCCCTCCCCTCCTCCCCCCCGCCCCCCGCTTTCAGGTGCGTGGCGGTGCTGGGAGAGCTGATCCCCGTCCGAGGGAAGCACTACTGGGAGGTGGAAGTGGAGGACAGGACAGAGTTCAGGATTGGCGTGGCGTATGAAGACACCCAGAGGAACGGCTTCTTGGGGGGGAACAGCACCTCCTGGTGCATGCGCCATGTTATCACACCTTCCAGGTGAGAGTGCTCTACATGCCAGAGATGGTAGGACTTATAGCTGCACCAAAGACAAGGCAGGTAAGAGTAATAAAAATACCCATTAATAACCTTTAAGCCAACCCATGAGCATTATGGGAACAATATTGAGCAAATGAAAGATGGTATTAGGTTATCTGCTTGAGCGATATAGTGATAGGGCTGTTCCCATGGCAACCCAATGTTCTGCAAACCAGCAATCCACAGACTTTTGCATCAGTCTGTCAAGACTGTACACACAGCAAGAAGCAGAGGGTCTCCACAACTTGCTGCCTTTAAAACAGTCCTCATGTGATTCTTAGGCACAAGTATGAGTTCCTGCACAATGGCTGGACCCCCGAAATCCGGATTACGGTTCATCCCAAGCGGGTCGGTGTCCTGCTGGACTACGATGCGGGGAAGCTGTCCTTCTTCAATGCACACCTGGCCCAGCACCTCTACACCTTCCAGTGCCGCTTCCTGCACCACGTGCATCCCTGCTTTGCTTTGGACAACCCAGGCGCTCTCGCGCTCCACAACAGCATCGCTGCTCCTGCTTACACAATGTTTAACTGATCTCAGCCTCTGTCTGCCTCAGCGTGGCATAGACATCTGCAAATAAATGCCCGATGCTTTTTCTCAAGGCGGGACGTTCAGGAATCCAAACCAAGGACATACTAAAAGTTTTTAGCTTGAATTTCAAACCTCACAGGTACTTTGGTCATTAGATGACCAAAATAGTCCACATCTGTGTTTATTATGGTGTTAACAGAGCTGAATTAGAGCCCAGTGTGTCCCCGAATAACCTTAATTCTAATATTGCCTTGGCTTTATCTAGGTTACCTCTTCTTAAACAATAAAATAATAATCCAAATTGATGTTTTGACATCAATAAAAGTCTGATACCAGCTTTTTCACAACTATTTATTAAAAGGTTTCAGCTACGCCAGTTATTAAAGAAATAAAGGGATATTCTGTACATAGGCTACGCAAATCTTTGTGTTTCTCAGACTACTCCATATAAAGACTGGAGGAAAAATAAAAGGTGAATAGTGTGATAGACTGTAAAACATAAAGCGAACTGGAACCATTACTGGTGATATTAACCCTGATCACTGGTGCTCTCACTACTAAGGACCCAGGTTAATGGATTGAGCCCAAAAATGCAGAATAGCTACCAGATGGTCATCTAAAGCAGTAGCTATAATTTAGGTTTGCGTCATGTAAGATTTTTTTCATCCACTGGCAAACACATGGATTATTCTCGTCAAAATAAACAGCAAAGAAAACTGACGCCACTGTAAATAGATTGGATGACCCGTCAATACCTCTTACCATGTACTGTAACGCTGATCAGCGAATACAACCCGAGATAAACGGCAACATATCTCCCCCTTAAGTTTGAGGCCGGTAGTGTCACCCAGTCACTCGTTTGTCTCCATCGTGGTGCATTTAGTTTAGATACTTGTGCTAGAATGCCACTTTACACCAAGTCAAATCTCAGATTGGCCAATTTATATGTAGCAGCTTAATAACATTAACAACAAATTTTATATTTGCATATCCCGCTTGAATATTCTTTTTTTACCCTCACATTAAATTACGGTGCTAATCAAAACGTGATTACCGGTGTGATGCGCCTTTGGCAGTATCTGATAGATCGTGGCTGAACTTCACCTGCCTATGATCTCAGTATTAGCAATGTTGCAGTCAATGAACATGCAGTTATTTAACATGTACTTATGATTAAAGAAAAACCGCGAAAACAGAATAGATCTCCAATCCAGTCTGTGAAAGCCGTTGCGATCAGGTTTCTGTAGATCCGAGCTTGCATGTCTGCAAACCCCCCAATCTGTGTGTGGGTAACAGGAGGTAGTTAACCCTGCATGGTGAGTCTGATAATGTTATGCTCCATTACTGTAATGCGCCTCCACGTGGGAAAATCAAGAAGAGCAGCGGTTTATTTTAACCTTTGAAATAGCAGTGTGGGATCTTCAAAGAACTTATAATATTTAAATTGAATAAATGGCGGATATAACATTTTAAAAGATTCAATTGATCTTAAGGTTTTATGTGCAGATCATTTAGGCCTACCGTTTATCTTCCGCCCTCCGTTTTGATGGCATCCAATGTGAAAAATCTGAGCCTACTGTTTAATCCAGTATATTATATAAATACGGCATACATATAGGCCAATCATACGTCTGAAGGGTTAGAACCTATAGTTGTTGTAGGTGTGGTGTGCTGTTAAAAGATGACGGCACGTATAGTCAAATGAAGTTGTCCAGGGTGAGGTGAACCACCGTGGAATTGTTTAAAATTTAATAAATTCAATGAGACGAATAAACTTTGGACACCGCTGCATCTAATTCTCCGTCTGACAAGCACAAAACTGATAAATTAATCCAAACACTTAAACAAAACTTAAATCATTAAGACCGGCGTGTCAAACTCCAGTCCCGGAGGCCGAGCCCTGCGCAGTTCACTAATTATCACACAGGGCTCCAGCCCCCCAGGACTGCAGTTCGACACCCCTGCATTAAGAAGTGATACAGGAATGATACGTCATAAATTAACAATACTAGTCTACTTAGGGAAAGTGGACAGGGCACTCCGTGAGGAATGGGCGTGACAGTATGTTTCAATTGTTCCCGTAATGGATGCCCTTTGCTAAATTTAAGACTAATTATGCAAGTCTGCTTGCATAAAGCTTAATTAGAATTTCATCCAACCGCTGTTCAATACTTAATCAATTAAAATAACCCTTAAGGCGCCAGGGTTGCAAACTCTCACGCAAGAACTACTACGGCAAATCTATATAATTCCATTATAAACCTAAAATTAGCTGCATCAAAAGCGCTGGGGTAGTTAACAAGCCGTATAGATTTTTTACAAGGTAATAAAACAGTTACGTACATGTAAATGCGTGTGCATATGTGTGCAGAATCACGCCAGGCAGCTGACCGAAGTTGACAACCCCGAGGCTCCAGCATTCAGCTCGTCTCTCAGCCCAAAGCAGGACTCGCTGTTTTTAGCGCCTTGTGTGCTGTGGGGTGTGATGAAGTGGTTGCGTCACGGTCCTCGTGTGACCGTATAATCGTCAAACTATTTAGCACCGAAATATTGCAGGTCAGTTTTGATAAACCGAATTTTTAGAACCCAAGTCCAAACACCTATAAGTCCGCTAATCGCTCCCCGTTCGCACCAGGTGTATGACAGGGATGCCTGCAGGGAGACTTGCTACACCGCCGACCCTCGGGAGTGGGAGGGGCAATGTCGGGAGGGAGGGAGGGGTTTATCAGGAGGGGCCTGACACCCTATCGCAGGGGTATTCAACTAAAATTTAAAGAGGTCCAGTTAGAGAAAACTTCTTGAAGCAAAGGTCCGGAAGATCATAATGTCTAACTATTTAGTGTGATCTATATTTAAGTAGCGTATTAGTTGTACCAACATTGCATGTAATCAGTACCTGACTGTCAAAGCAAATTAATTCAGTACAATTCAAAAACGTTTTGACAATATTTATTGTCACGTGACAAAGAACTTCGGGCAGCTGGCTGGAGTGAGACTTTCAATTCGAGATGTCTGCACACACATGTAACAGTTCTTATACCTTGTAAATAGTCTGCTTTTGTATTTAACCGTGTAAATACACTTTTGACGTAGCTAATTTTAAGTTTTATAATATAGATTTGCCGTAAGATTTCCAGCGTGAGTCTGATAGCGTGAGTGTCATGCCAGATGCTTGAGATTTGGCAGCCATGAAAATGTATATTTTTTGTTTCACCCGAGTTTATTTATATAACAGATAACATTACTTTATACATATGTTAAAAAGCAGAAACTTCAACGAACATGAAATCAACAATAAACTACGTCTATTTATCCAATATGTTATATAATACATACTGTATTTGAAAACTGTTCATCTTTACGATTTCAGGACAGACCAGTCACTCTGTTAGGAACATTACGGCTTTTTGGTTGTGGTTTTAGCTTCGATGCTACTACTAACGCTAACGGCACATTAGCGCAGACATAGGGCTGCATACGCCGAACTACATCTTGCTTGGCTTTCAAAGGCGTTTGACGTTCATTGGCGTGGGAAACGGCGGCTCTACTGCTAAACCACTACCGAAAAGACTACAAACGCTGCGCCGGTAAAAATAGAAGGTTTTAAATAATAACTTAATGTTTTGGCTATCGGTCCGGGTCCGTATGTGACAGCTTCTGGGTCCGGACCCGGCCCGCGGTCCGCCTGTTAGTGACCTCTGCCCTATCGCCTATCCCTCACCCTCGTTATAAACCCCTCCCACTCCACACTCAGAGATTTAAAAGTTTAGTTACCGCGTTTATCCCCATTAAAGCCGCGGCCTGAACGCTGCCTTAATTTAGACAGAAACACGAGTAGCAGATACAGGGACCACACCAATTATACCAAGTAGCTTAACAATAACCACCTACTTAAAAATGATCTCAGACAGCTTCGAGAATTATAAATGGCGGTAAGAATTATTGGTTGAAGCTTCTAAAGAGAAAGTATGATTGAAAAAAAAATATTAGCAGCGTCATGTTAATGGTGGTGGAACTTGACGTTTCACGGTGATTGACGCGCACTTTCCATCCATCGAGCCCCTTTGCTGGTGATTTCGGGTGTTTTCACACCAGCATTAAGTCTGGTTGAAATGGACTCGGATGTTTTTCTTTTAAATATGGGCCTTTTTGGAAGCATTCTAACGGTTAACTACGTTTTTGTGAATTTTATTCGTTTACAGGCCAGAAGCCCTTTCACAGGTTATGCTCATATTATTACGGTTGATTTTTCCTATTTCTAAAAGTAGGGGTTAGTGGTTAATAATCTTGTCCAGATGCATGCATGTCTGTATACCTGAGCAAGGGCTACCCATCATCATATAAGAAGTTAGGGTTGCTGTTGCAAAGTCACCTCATGGTACCAAGAACCACAAAGCAATGTTTCTTGGTTTCTTCCTTTAAAGAGACTCACTGGTGATGAATTGGAGAAAGGCTTGATGTTTCCAACATTAGTATGTAGGCAAGCAGGTCACAGAAGGTCTATTGTGGTCAAAGGAAATAAGGGGAACTAACACGAAAGACAAAACCCAATAAATCTAGACACCTCTGGCAAGCTGTCACTGACAAACCCTCCTTGTTGAGGAATTGCAGACTGCAGGGCCGCGGTTCAGAATTATTTATGGTTCTGCTTAGTTCTTCAGGTTCTAAGGAACAAGGTCCGGGAAGGTCATCCAAACAAACATGAGGAAGGATGACGGAGTGGAGGCAGGACAAAAGACAGGCCACAAATGGCTGTTTGGGATCTGTGTGCTCTCCTGGTTTGAGTAAAACGTTGACAAAAACAAACTCACTATCCCACACAGTATGTAGTACTTTTAACAAGTGGCCATCATCAGTCCATACCTGGATGCAAAGGATAATCACAGGTATGAAATGTACTAATTACCTCTTGGGAGAGGACAGTAATCAAGACATCTCTATAGTAAAATCCATAAATCCTGATGAGGAGAAGCATTTCAGTTCAAATGAATGCATCACTGCAGTTTTATTTGACCAAAGTGAGCCTCAACACCTACAGAGGAGAAACCTTAGGAGATATATACTGTATATATATATGATCTATTAATCTCTGCTAAAAAAAATAGTGGATAGTATTACATATTTATTACTGGAACTAGAAATTCGAGTTAGCGAACTTCTTCATGAGGTCAAGACCTACAGGCAGGATTATTAACAGCTGCAGGCAGTGTCCTGTAGAGCAGTGTTTCTCAACCCAGTCCTCGGGGAACCATGTTTTTGCTCCCTCCCAGCCAATCAGGAACACAGCATACCAGGTATAGGTGCGTTGGGAGCTGAGAGGAAGCAAAAATGTGGACTGCTGGGGTTCCCTGAGGACTGGGTTGGGAAACACTGCTGTAGAGTCATTGGTCGAATAAAGGCCACATTTAGAGCAGAAGGGAGCATTAGACCTGGCAATCATGATCTCTTTTAATGAAGTTCTATCAGGGACACGTGAATGTGTACTAGTGTTGGCCAAACAGTCACAGAACGGGAACCTGGTGATAATCTTTACTACACCAAGACCCTTAGCGGAAGACGGGGCTTGGCCACCGCTGCCTGACACCACAGAACGCAAAACACAAAAACGGATTGGGGAGGATATTCACGAGTACTACCATGATTAGAAAAAGTTTGATTACTTCAGTTAGCGAATTAGTCAAAGCCTGTTTTTTTTTCTGGTTGGCCTGGCGGGTGTTCCACAAAGCAGGATTTCCCAGTTAGCTGGATAACTTAAGCCAAAAGTGAAAACTGTCCAAAAGGAAGTGAGGTAAATAACATTCCTACTAGAAAATATGGCCTAAGATATCTGGCTAATGAAGGCTTGCTTTGTGGAACACGTCTCTCCACCCCTTCCAGCTCAGAAGTAGTTGCCAATCAAAAAAGCCCTGATTGAGTACAAAAAAAAAAAATCAGCCCTCATTTACGTAACCAGAAAGAGTTACAGTGAGCTGATGTATATAAATGCTAGAAGACCAACGGGTATCTGAAAGGGATACTTTCCACAAAAGCATTCTAACATGAATCAGTGGTGGATGATCCATCTGTCTGGATGAACTGGGAATAAAACTCTGACAACAGTCTTAAGTTCTGCACGGTTTATGGTCTCTTCTGTTACTCCAGTGTCAAATCCAAACAGTCTATAAAAATAGCTTTGTCATAATACTACTTCTGACTAAATTACCAAGTCCAGACATTCTTTGTATTTACACAGTGGGATACAGTGTATAAATATAGTATAAAATAAGGCAGTTTTCTCAGTAGATTATATCATCAAGTACAAAAAAATTAATTCAAGTCCTGAACACTTTCATTCACGATTCGGTCACTGGAAGCCACGCGCTTTCGCAGCATCTCTCAGGCATCACACGTCCAGACGGACCACAGGGACACCCACACTCACGTGGTCATGTGACCAGGCCCAGCATGGGGTGTCCCAGCTGTACATTTTCATTGTCGTTTACAGTGCATCATAAAAGGTATCCTGTTACATTGCAAAAATAAACATATAGGTATCAATGAAATGTATGCTGACGGATACGAACCTCAAGGCTTTGGCTTAGCACTTATTTTTCATTAAGTTTATTATTTATGAGTCAATTCTCTAACCTCGCAGGAAATATCAAACGCCTACAAGAAAATAAATACACCGAACATGTTGGCCGAAAGTCAATGGGCAGGATGGAAAAATCCATCTGTGGGCCTTACGATGACGGCCCCAAACTGAGAAGCCAACTCTACAGACTCCCAGCTGGATGCTTTATACTGAAACAGTTTGGGGGGGGGGGGGGACAAAAAAAATCAGGGGATTAAACAGAAACAGGCAAAAGTAGGGACACACTGCAGTACTACAGCATGGATCCTGTGTGACAGATCATCCAGTCTCTCACATTCCCGTTCACACCCCTCAAAGGCATCCAGGGAGGCAGCCATCTCCTCTCCGGGCTGGTCAGCAAACCCCCCCGCCACCCCACTCCATGCCCCGCTTATCCTCAACGTCGGCCCATTCAAGTTGTGGGGCTTTAGTCGTCCGTCGCCACCTCTTCTGGGCGATTCCATAACGTGGGGGCTGTGCCTGTGTCCCGGTCACAATCTGCAACAATGCGCAGCTAGAGGACAAAGGAACTGCTCCTTCTCCACAGCCGCCTTTGTGGGCGCTACAGGATAGCTACTCGATCTGGGGGGGTCCCAGGCTGCGCAGGCGCCACAAAACAGCTACTCCGGTGGGGGGGCCAGGCTGCGCAGGTTGCGCTCATCTAGGCTTTTCCAATACTTGAAGTTGTTGTCTAGGTGCTGCATGAGGTTGGGAAGGTCAGCAAAGGCTGTGAAGGGAACAGGCACATGCTGAATCAGAAGGGGCTCCAAACACGGCAGGAGAACTTCAGCTGCAGGAGCACAGAGAGAAGCCTGCAGTCTCATTTGAACATGATCACAGGTGTAGCCACATGCATTGCTAGCGAATTCATGGGCTCCTTCCCTACCCAGTATATAAACCTCAAGGGGGGGGGCGGGGGGGGGGAGCATCACTCCTTTGACAGCACCAACACTGCGTCCCATTTGAACTGGGAAGTGAGAATTTCTGAGTTCCTAGTCGGAAATTTCAACTGGAGCGCCCTCTGAAATCTGAATTCCGACTTGCTGCACCCTTCATCATCCAATTAACTCAGGTGTGATGTCATTCCCAGCTCCAACTCACTACCTTTGAGGTTATTGGAACACAGCATAAAATAAAACAGGTAGAAAGGGACATACCATCCCAGGCATCAAACATATCCGTGATGAAGTAGTCAATAAAGGAGATCTGGGATTTGGGAATGCTGCAGGTGTTCCTGTCGAACACGGGCATCACCACAGGCAGCCCCTGACTCTTCTCTTCTTCTGTCTACACACGGAGGGAGACTGTGGTGTAACTACTGCCGTGTGCACAGACACCAAACCGTGACTCAGGAAGCGCGGTGGCAAAAAGCCTGTCACCTGAGCGAAATACTCCTCGGAAATGCGGCCCGCCCACTCCACACAGAGCCGCAGCGGCCGACACGGGTTGGAGATGTCTGCACATTTGATGAGCATGCGCTTCACGAGGATCCGGTTTTCGGGGGACGTCAGGATCGTCTTCATGGACTCCTCCCCGCTTCCCTGTCAGGCATTGAGAAGGTGGCAGAGGATGGGGAGAAAGTAAAAACAACCAGCAAGGAAGAGTCCGATGAAACGCGACTTGCATTTGATGGGATCATGAGTCTCACACAAAGTGACCTTGAAGGGGAAACACCAGGTCTGTACAGTGAAGCACTAACGCTCCACAGGGTCTTTCAATCCAACCTGAGGAGCACTAAGGTTTGCGTGAATCAGGGGCGAATCATATACCACAGGTAATCAGAAGGATAAGCCTTTTGTAGTATCAAGAGCAATATTCCATTCTTAAGCCACAGAAACCTCTTAAAGGCTTGGTAACAAAAAGCTTCTTAATAAAATTGTTTGGATTCAAACAATGACAATGTACATGAATTGAAATTAAAGCAGTTTGGAACTTACCAGACGTCACATTATGAACTTATGAACACTTATCAATCACACAAGTCCTGTGCACTGGATGTTATATAAGAAATTTGAATCCAGTCACCCAGATTGGTCGTGTGCCATAAACAGAGTCCAAGTTAAAGCTGTAATGAATTCCAGTTAAATCGATCGACTCTTTTCGGCCCAAGTCATTTCACTGCAGCTCTAAGCCTCAGCGGGATGGTAACATCAATACAGCCTTTATTTTGCCTCCCTGTTTGCTAATTCAAATCATCCAGCCCAGCAGATTAGGAAATCTGGATGCTGCCCCAAGTAGATTTACCAGCCTAAGTATGGAAAATGACTCCGAATACCACAGCTAACCAGTTTCTCATGCTTTTATTATAAACAGGATGCTTGAGCTAAGTAAAAATGTGATGCTCCATTGACACATTAATGTTTTAATCCACAATTTTTTAAAACCCATATTACCTGCTCAAGGCAGCGGGAAAAAATAAAAAATTCGTAGTCAACATGTATTATGATTCTGCGAAAATCAGCACAATTATATGAAATGTAAGAAGGTTCTTTAGAAGTTTTTCCTATTCCATCCCTGAGGTTCCAAGGTACAGCATGATTAAATAATCAGATGTATTACTACATGTTTACAAGAAAACTGTGACCATTATACTGTCAAAAATGAGCCCCCCAGGACCACGAACCGCGGGTGTAGAACGTTGTAATCCAGAGGTTCCCAAATGTTTCCCCATGAACCCCCAGCCAATCTCTGTGTTTGCATTCTCTCACCTCCCACACACCTGACTCAACTAATTATGGGCTGGAGGTTAATTTAATGAGTCATATCACCTGATGGTGGGACAGAACAGATCCATGCAGCAGATTAGGGTGAATTAAGAGAAATCCAAGGTCCACTGGTCCAAGGCACACGAAGACCACAACCTCCACTGCAATGACCCACTGGTTCAGCACTCAATGGCCTAGCGCTCACATGCAGGGACACTTCGGCAGCTTAGACCTGTGCTCATGACTGGAAGGGCGCTGGTTCAAGCCCCACCCACCGCAGAAGTGTCACATCTCCATTTGGGCCCTTTACACACCCCCCCTCCCCAAAATGCTCCAGAGGCACTCAGACGGATAGCTTCACTCTCAACTGTGCGTGCATGCGTGTGTATGTGTGCGTGCATGTGTGTGGATACACACACACATATGTTAGACAGTCCTGGGCAACTTTATCTCACTACATCCCACACTCAATTGTTCCCCTTATACCACCAAGGACCCCCCCCCACACACACAATTAGTGTGGATTTCGCTGAATCCTCACCTCGTTCTCCTCCAGCGCAGCCAGCGGCTTGTTGATGCTGTTCACAAACTTGTTGACGTGCTCGAAGTGCTTGGTCATCTCAGTGGCCAGGACCATGTCGATGACGGCCTGTCGCAGCGTGCGGTACTCAGTCCTGTGAAAAGCGAAAAGGCGCGCTGCCAATCTGACAAACACCCACGTGTCACCAAGCACGAGCGCACGAGGCAGTATGGGATCCAGGCCCATCGCAGGGCACGGACACATGCACATGCATGCACACCCCCGCGTGCACAAACACACGCATATATGCACGCACTCACATACATGCACACACACACACACACAACAGACAATTTAATGAAGCAAAATATTCTAGCTACATGAGGAACCACCAGCACCCACTGAAGTCACACAGCACAGGGAGACATGCAAGCTGCACACACAGTGTAGGGGGCAGAACTGAACAAGGCAGGGATGCTATGCACTGAGCCACTTTAATGTCAACATTATATATAATCTACATTCAGTTAGGAAGCCGTCTGTCCCCCCACCCCCCACCCCACAGTTTATACAATTTCATCACCATTAAAACTAGTACTTAAGCAGCTCTTCAGCTAGGGAGCTGACCTCTCCATGTTCCTGAAGATGTTGCACTTTCCATCGCGGGTGGTGATCTGGAAGGCCAGGGCGGTGTGATGGCTCTCCAGCACGGCCGTGTCGTTGTACAGGACGGCCAGCTCGCTGCCCGCGTTGCACAGGAAGGAGTTGGTGCGGCCCGGGTGGTCTACGTCGTGTACCGCGGCCGCAATCAGAGACGCCACCTCGTCGATGGGGTCCAGGCTGGCCTGCAGGAAACCCAGTGCGAGGAGACAAAGCAGGTTGAAATGGCTAAGGATGATTTATATTTGGGTTATGTCCAGAAGGTCGTAGGTTTAAGTCCCATGGCTGAGAGCACTATACAGCAAAAGTTTTAGGCAGTCGAAGAAAATGTTTAAATGATCTTCAAGTTGATGCTAAACTATGCAGTGTCTGTCAGAGTGTGTCGGCTTGGCCATTTCAAAACCTCTGTTGAAGTCACCGCAGTGTTTGCAGTAGCTATCCAATATAACCATGCATTTGTCGACTTGACTACTAGAATACCATGTCAGGCTAAATGACACCTCATGAATATGTTTCACCAAGTTCATTATTTAAGTGAGCTAGTGGTGAATGTGAATACACGGAATGGCTGTTTGAGAACTGAAGTGGGCTTCATCTAGCCGTCCAACAAGATATCACTCATTTTTTGGAGGACAGAACTTCTTGTTTATTTTTTGTGTTACTGTTCATTTGCATGTGTTCTAATGCTGTAATGTTAAATTATGTTATAAATTATGATTTAAATTAAATTATGTTTTGTTTTTTTTTAACCATTTTATATTTCCCACACAGATAAAGAGGCTTAAACATTTTCTCTAAGGGCGCTTTTCCACCGCACAAAGTACTTTCGGTACTTTCGCTTTTCCATTGACTTCCGGTCGAGTACCAGTACCTAAAGTTCCAGTACCAAAAGTGCCAAACCAGCTGGGGTACTTCTTTGGTACATCGGTACTTTGGGGTGGGACTTACAAATGTATTTGCTGTCGATTGGTTATGCAAATAGCCTGCCGCTGAAACACAAAATACACACAGCGAACAGCGAGAAATTAAATAAAAAGCAGTAGAAACAAAAATATTTTAAAAAGTAAAATGGAAGGATGGACAAACGAGGAAACACAGGCTTTAATCGCCATATGGTAGGATGAACAGATCCAGCGGGATTTGGATGACACGACTCGGAATAAAAAAGTATTTGTCGTAACAGCAGGCCGCTTGGAAGAAATGGGGCACACGTGAAACACCGAACAATGCCGCTTGAAAATCAAAAAACTTAAGCTGGACTACAGGAAAGTGAAGGATCATAACAACATGTTTGAATTCAGCGAAAGAAATACCGCGTCGCGCTTCGTGATGATGTAAGTCAGGGGCGATCACTGATGATGTCATTTGGCGCCGGTACCAGTTTTTATGCCAGTGGAAAACTGACACAAAAGAAGTACCATACTTTTGGTACTTTATGGAAGTACCGAAAGTACCGAAAGTACCGAAAGTATGGTACCTGGTGCGGTGGAAAAGCGCCCTAATAGACTAAGAATTCTGCACAGTGCCGTATCCCTTAAGGTCATATTCTGCTCCACAGCGCTGCATGAACGGCCGACAGCGCTCAAACCACCGAGTGCTAGTGGGGGGGGGTCCGGTTCGAGGACTCACCTTCACACGCTCCCGGGACAGGAAGTAGGCGGTGGCGTGCAGGACGTCAGCGGCGTGGCTGGAGTTGTGGTACGGGTTCCCGCTGTGGTAGTTGGTCTCGATGGCTTGCAGCCAGGCCCTCAGCGTCGCCTCCGAGCAGTGGAGGAACTCACAAACCCCGAAGCGTGAGAACACCTTCAGCCCCAAGTACACCAGCGGCCTGGAAGAGAACGGAGGGGGAGCGACCGGCCCCGCCCACAGGACACCCACAGGCAATCAGGGAGATGCCTTTAGGAAGAAGCATCAGCTGGCAGACAGGAGAGGCCCCTCATGCGCTGCCCACCCACTCCACTCCTCACCGTTTCATGGTGGCCGCCTCTAGGTTGAAGATGTCAAAGTCCCAAGATTCCTCGTTCTCCATGGCTTGGGCCACACGCTGGGGGATGTCGGTGAGCGACAGCGGGGTGATCATGTGACTGGGGCCATGTTGGGACTCTGGATGCATGTGCATGTGGGCCGACACACACACACACACACACACACACACACACAGAACTTGTAAGTCACACAAGCCTGAGATTTGATGATGAAATAATATGTCAGGCAATTAAAACCACTACAGACATGGACTTGGAAACACATTTGATACTTTGACACCTCTCCTGCTTGCCTGCCAGCTGCAAGTGACACTCATGCATCCCGGGCCTTACGTTTGGTGGCGAGGATGTGTTCATTTCCTGACAATCTCCGCAAGCCGTCCTGTGGGGGGTGGGGGTGCGGGGGGTGGGGGGGGAACAAACCAAAACGTCTGACAGCGAGCAGCAGCTGAATCAGTCCCGGCCAGATGTGCTCACGGCCAGACGTGGAACAGAACCACTGAACCCAGAGCCAAGAGCTCGGCTCCCTTTGAAGTTGCAACGTGTCACAGATCAGTGGGAGGTGTGAAGAGAGCTTACAAAACATCTCACAGGATTATAAACAGCTCCGCGCTTCTGTCTGGAGCTGCATGTTTCAAATGTAGAATTACGCATAGAAGATAGTCCATGAATTATCCAGTAATATGTGATGCCCCTTCTTCCATTCCATTTTCTCACGAGTGTGTGTGTGTGTGTGTGTGTACATATACAAGTGTTCCTGCAGGCTCTTAGTGGAGAACAGTGTGTAAAGCACAAGGTCATCCTCGTGGGTGGAGGGTGCAAACATTGCGCTGGGGTGGTTTGACTGAGTGTGGCAGGAGTTTTGGACAAAAGAGTCCGGTACAGAAATGGAAGTGACCCTAACAAACCCCCACCAGCTGTCCAGCCAAGGAGCAGAGTGTCTGTTATGAGCTGTACAAGCATCAGAGGACAGTCTGGTGCTTCCTGTGCCCCCACTTAGATTCAGCTGGGGCATGCGGCAGCACTCTGACATTCAGGTCAGAGGGACAGGGACAAGCATAGACAAGTGCACGGATAGAGGGTAAATAGAAGGGCACCGATTCAGGACATAGGATACACAGACAAGCAGACACAGACACAGGCACAGGACATAGGATACACAGACAAGCAGACACAGGACACAGGCACAGGACATAGGATACACAGACAAGCAGACACAGGACACAGGCACAGGACATAGGATACACAGACAAGCAGACACAGACACAGGATACATAGATGGGCACAAGACACAGGGACACACGTATTGACAGACAGACAGACCACACAACCCATCATCTGCACTTAAAACTGGTCTCTCTTGTCTGTCAGAAACCATTTACTATTGCTTGTGACCAAACTTCTGAAAAGCACTAAGGCCCGTCAGGTTTAGCTTTCCTCACCATCATCAGCCCCCCGACAAGGTCACTGGTGTGGGGGTCCTCCTCCTTACTGCCCAGCTGGGGGGAGTAGAGCTCTGTAGTTCGCAGGATCTCCAGCACGCGGTCCAGGGCCTCGGCCACCGGCACGGGGCTGCTCTCCTGGGCCGCATTGATGATGTTGATCACCTGGGCGTATTGACATGCAGAGGGGCTGGTATCATGTCCAGGCTGCGACTCTATGGCCCAAGGCCGGGACCTGCGGGGTCCCTCGGAATCCCACCTTGGTAATGGGGGCCTCAATGGTCATGGAGTGAATCCGGGCCATAGAAGAGTGCCGTTTCTGTGAGCTGCCTGCGGCAAAGAAAATTGCCATCAGAAGCGAAATGAGGAACGAGCTTCTGTGGCTGAAGCGTGGACATGACAGTGACAAGCTTAGGGGAGAGATGGACAGGTGGGGCAACGGGCTTACCATCACTTCCCCGAGAGGTGGTGGACCTGACATCGAGCGAGCCTTTCCTCCAATCTTTGTGCTTGCTGCACTGGATGTCTGTAACGTGTCGTGACAAACATGAGACAGCATTCAGTGTGTTAATGCGTGAAATATCACAATTTCATGACATTAGGGTACTGGTTAGTGTGCTCACTGGAGTGCTAATTATTGTGCACTTGAGTGTGCTTATTAGTGTGCCCTTTAGTGAGCTTGTTGGGGTGCCCCATATGTACCAAAGGCTTGGGAAGCCACCAGTGCCCTACCTGTTTGGGATTCCGCTGGGACGCGGCCCCCACACGTATCCATCTAAAGTGGAAAGGAACAGAGCTCCTCACACATTCCACGCTCCAAAACATCCAAGGAAAAGCTCCCCAAGTGCCCCATGAACAGACATCCAGCCAGGGAGCCTCCAGCAGAAAACATCACCTTTTTCTGCCGGGCTGTGCTCTTTTGTGTGCTGGAGGCCCGGTGTCAGATAGAGACGCGCACTGCCCCAGGCGTCGTGCCCAAAGTATGCCCCACATTACAGCACAGGGGGTGACACCGTCACACCTGCCCCACCACATCTCCTGCTCCGTACGTGTACAATTCACATTCTCCCCATGTTGCATGGGTTTCCTCCTGAAGCCCAATGCCGTGTGAACTGCCAACTCTAAATGTGTGTTTGCATGTGTGATCTGAAGAGGACCAAGCATAGATGGATGGACAGACAGACAGACCTCACATGTACACTAGCAGCCAAAAGCTTTTGCACACACTGAGATTTTCTACATTTGCATGTTACTTAACATTTACTAAAAATATACTCACTATTCTTTGCTACGAATTTATAGTATCTGAGTACCTTTCTTAGCAAGAATCATATCTTTGATTCCGGCAAAATAACCTCCTCTAGCAGTTATAACAGCAGAGAAATTTTGAGGCATCACATGCTGCTCTGTGTCATGGGATGAAAGTTAAATAGTGCACGTAAAGTTAAAGGACAGCCTAGAGTTTGACTCTGCCATCACCACCCAACCAGCTAATAGGATGTCAGACATGCACTGTTACATACTCCTTCCATGTTATAAAGGAAACTTGTTTGACTTATATTTTCATTTATAATTGTTCACTCAACTTTCCAATGGTTAACCGGAATAAAAAATCTGCAGTTTATGAAATAAATGGAATAGTGGTAAAAACCCAAGTTGTGCAAAAACTATCCACTGTTAGTGTTCATATTACTAACTGCCATTGCAGATAGTTCATGGGAAGAAAGATATTTACATCAGCCGATTTGGGCTGTTGCCGCTACCTGAGGACCATTTATCAAAGGCTCCCGGGGTGAAAGGCTCCCGGGGTGAAAGGCTCCCGGGGTGAAAGGCTCCCGGGGTGAAAGGCTCCCGGGGTGAAAGGCTCCCGGGGTGAAAGGCTCCCGGGGTGAAAGGCTCCCGGGGTGAAAGGCTCCCGGTACAGGCTAACGAGACGGGTGTTTACAGCATGCATCACTCCTCTCATTCAGTTATTACATGCAAGCCTGTCCTCTTACCTTACTGTCATTTAATGGCCGGTTAATGGAAACAAAGTGCCTGATTTTCCTGTAACATTAAACAGAAGAGACTCAGATTCCGAGCGAGGACGACGCCAGGAGCAGCACGGCGCGGGCGGCCCCGCTGCGCCGGAGCGCTCACCCCCCCTGCCCGGTCACCGGCGTGATCCTCACGTCCTGCTGCACACTGTCCCCGTTCTTCTTCTTGGTGTAATAAACACCCTGCCACTCCTGCAAGGACGGAGGGGAGAGGAGCCGGTGAGGACGGGCCGGCACGGGGACGGCCACGCTCAGGTACCCCCCCCCACGGACAACGCGACAAGCTGCTTCTATATTTAAGAGGGTCTCCTTCAGCCGATTTGTCATGTCTGAAAGTGCCCCCCCTCCACCAAGTCCCCCACTGTTCCTCTGTCTGCCAGTCACCTTTGTTTGCTGTGAAGAGGGGCCATGTTGGGCAGGCAGGCCCCAGTGATGTCCCAGGCACTTTTAAAAGGATGTCCATTCCCAGGTCTCCATGGTGACCCGTTTCCATCCCACTGCTCCCCCTAGTGGCCAACTCAGGGAGCCCAGAGGCTCTCCAGACAGGGACAGACAGCCAGATTGGGCTGAACCCAGTCTTTAAAACGATCTCATCGGCTCTCACAAAAGACAAACGGAGAGCGGCCAGGCAGCCCTTCAAGTCAGACAGGTCGCGCGATTAAAGCTCTGGCGCCATATTAAGCCACATGGCTGCCGTAGTTGTCACGTAAAGCTCCCATATGACCCATCAGCGCCCCCTGTGGGGGACGCTCTCGGAGCTCCACACTCACCTTTCCTTTCTGGATGTAGGAGTTTATGGTCTCCAGGAGGTCGGGCTTGCTCTCACTTTCGGGCACCTCCATCACCTCCTTCCCCAGCAGCTCCCCCTGCTGGTACCCCATCATGGCCTCGTAGGTGGGGTTTACATACTGTGTGGAGGCAGATTACTAGTTCAACGCCATGACGACCACACAGCAGGCCTTTGCACGCCAAGGCAGGAGTCACACCATAAATCACATCACAAAAACATATACATACATATACACACCACACGGAGAAAAGTAATGTGACACAGCTCCTAATCATTGAATTCAGGTGTTTTTGATTCAGGCCCATTGCCACTAGTGTATAAAATGAAGTACATAGCCATGCAGTCAGGTTTACAAACATTTGTGAAAGAATGGGTCGTTCTGAAGAGCTCAGTGAATTCAACCAAGTGCAATGCCAAGCGTCAGATGGAGTGGTGTAAAGCAAACTGCCACTGGACTGGAAACGTGTTCTGTGGAGTGATGAATCATGCATCTCAGTCTGGCAGGTTGATGGATGAGTCTGGGTTTGGCAGATGCCAGGAGAACGTTACCTGCCTGACTGCATTGTGCCAACTGTAAAGTTTGGTGGAGGAGGGATAATGGGATGGGGTTGTATGGAATATTATGTAGCACTATATAACGTAGGATGTAAGTATTATGATATTATTAAAAAGTATGCCAAATATCCATGATGTAATCATTACAATGTAAACATTATAATGTAATCAACACAATGTAATTAAATGAATATGTATTTGCACCTTGTATTAACCTAAGAGTTTCTGTTAGCTACTTTATGTTAGTCCTGAATCTATGAATATCCACTTTTATTAGTGTATATCTTATCACTATGTTAAAGGACAAATATATTATCAACCCTCTAGTTAGTCAATGTGCAGCAGGCTGAAGCTGCCAAGGTTTACTGCTGAAGGACGGGATTCGCCTGAGTTCACCAGAAGTTCACGGCTGAGCATTTTTAAAAAACCAAGTGGCGATGGTCACGCCACCATTATGTTCGGCGCAGGGACCAAACGGTAAAAGAAATTACTGACAAACTTATCAACTAGGGGCGTGGATTAAGGGAAAAAACAATGATTGTGAATGGTTGAAGGAATGATGATGCTCAAGTGACGAGATATTGTTGAATGATAAGAACTTGTATAAAAATTGGTGGAAAACAGTATTGGACACACTTCTACGTGTCCGGCCTTGGTTTTAACTTCATTGTTGCAATAAAGACTGAATTTGAATCTACACGAGCGGCTCCTGACTTCTGATTTGGAAGGAAAAAACCACAACAGTTGGTTTTCAGGACTTGGGCTAAGCCCCTTAGTTCCAGTGAAGGGAATTCTTAATGCTTCAGCACATTTTGGACATTTCTATGCTTCCAAGTTTGTGGTAATAGTTTGGGGAAGGCCCTTTTCTGTTCCAGGATGACTGTGCCCCAGAGCGCAAAGCAAGGTCTATAAAGATATGGTTGGGTGAGCTTGGTGTGGAAGAACTTGACTGGCCCACACAGAGCCCAGACCTCAACCCCATCAAACACCTTTGGGATGAACTAGAATGGAGATAGATGTGAAGGCCTTGCTCACAAACATCTGATCTCACAAATGCTCTTCTGGATGAATGGGCAAAAATTCCCACAGACACACTCCACAATCTTGTGGAAAGCCTCCCCAGAAGAGTGGCAGCTGTTATAGCTGCAAAGGCGGGACCAACCCTGTACTGATGCCTATGGATTTATAATGGGATGTCATAAAAGTTCCTGTGGGTGTAATGGCCAAGCGTCCCAATACTTTTGTCCATATAGTGCATGTGTTATGCATATCTATCTATCTATCTATCTATCTATCTATCCATCCATCCATCCATGCACCCACCCACCTACAGTAAGCCCTTCACCTGAATCACTTTGTCTTCATTGGTGATCTCGATGGCCTCTTCACTCTGCTCCATCGCAGTGAAGATGGCACTGCACGCTCTAGGGACCACAAGATGGGAAACATCTTAAAATGAGACCAACTGCATACTGACAGGTGACCAGTAACGACTCCCCTTCCCCAGAGCTGCGTGGACACTCTGGGCATCAGCCTGCTGAGGGGCTGGCCTTTTCCCACGCCTCCCCACCCTCAGCAGGCACGGGTGAGCGCGTTCCCCACAGTATCGGCGGAAAAGGGCACCGAGCCCAGTGACCGCCATCCTGAGCCAATGTACATAATTACAACACAAAGGAACCACAAATGGCATCTGGAATTCCTTCCCAGACAGACAAACCACCACACTGGGGAAAAGCGACCATGGAAACTAAAAACAGGCCCCGTGTCCAAGAGGAGCTGAGAGAAACGACAGATAAAAGTCCAGAGTGATTAACTAAGGTCCCATGCTCTGGGGCACTCTCAATCAGCGGCCTGCCGCGCTCTGGCGCCCCCTGCCTTACCTGAGCCGGAACTGCGCCTGAACCTCGCCATGCTCTAGTTGGATCAGCTCGTTGTAGCAGCTCATGACGTTGGGGTTCTCCACATAGCTCTGCAGGGGGCAACATCAGGACTTGCCATTCGGACACAAACAGAGAACATTCGCCCCCATTCCCCGTTAGCTGTGCGTGTCTCGGCCATGACGGCCAGGACGGAGATTCCATCTGATGCAGGGAGGGGACCAGTGAAGCAGCAGCTCCTCTCTGCGTTTCAAAAGCCACATCTTGCTTTCAGCTGCCCTTATGTCACGTGACCACAAGGCAGGCTTGAGTGAGAACTGCCCCCCCACACCACCCCCCACCCCCTCCCTGGGGCCAGTTACCCTGTTGAATCCAGCAGTAATCAGTGGCATCACAGAGGCTTCCTCTCGATCTGGCCTTTAAAGAAGAAGAAAAAAGAAAAGAATCATTAATCACTAATCCAGCTCAGCAGCACCCTCATCTGGGGGCTGCCCAGCATCTCAGAAAGACCCTGGATGATTCGCTATGTTGTGGGATGGTAACATTCAGGTCCCCAGCCCTAATTTCTCACATACATACTTTATAAAGGTAACCATGTGACCTCTGAACACGGTACAATTAAGCTGCACCCCACTCGCACGCACCGTCCCCCTTACCTCTTCACCACGGCAACAATGACGGTGTTCTCTGAAGACTTCACGGCTCGAATCGCCCTACGGGTGAAACGGAGGGAGCTATTTAGCGCCACACGATGGTGGAAGCTAGGCTGACAGATCACTCAGCTCGCAGATAACAGCCAGGCCAGAGCACAAGCGTACGTCTTTATGGGTGCTTAACAACAGCACAGAAATACTGGGTAAATATGCATTCAAATGAAAAGATCTGAAAAACAAGAACGCAGGAGAGCAGGGAGGCCCAAACCGGGGTTCCTCAGTGCACAGGGTGCCGTGACAGTCAGAGGATTAAAGGTGGGGCGTGATGGACGCAGGAACCCACCGGCACACGGAATCAGCATCAAGGCGTCGGCTATGCCTGCGGTCCACGATCACAACGTCGTGGTGCGTCTCCAGGAAGAGCTGCAGCGCAGCCTCCGGCGTCCTGGCCACGCTGCACCTGAGGCCTGCCCTCTCGCAGGCCCGCAGGAAGCCGCCGCACTGCCCGTCGTTCTTGGCGAACACCAGCATGACCTGGGGCAGGAACGGCCGGTCAGCCCGTATGCTTTCGAAAGGCTGGGGGGCATCTGGCCCTCCCCGCTCTCCTCAGTGCCCCGGTTGCTCAAACGCACCGATAACTAAGGGCAAATTGGCTCAGGGACCACAGCACCACCCCCTGGTATCAGCAGCAGAGCGCAGTCACATGGCCCCAAACGCACCAATCAATGAAGGGAACAGGCTCAGGGACTACAACCATGCCCCCCCCCGGCATCAGCAGAAGTGCACAGTCACATGGTTCCAGCAGCACCATGAACGGCAGAACAGAACCAATTCTGCCCTTTGATCTGTGCAGGCCAAAACAAAAAAAAAACTGCAGCAGTGAGAAAACTGTCATGAGTCATTTCCAAACACACCTTGCGGGGGGGGGGGGGCCCACTTTACATTCTGAGCTTGGTATCCAAACTGCCAGATTCAATGCAGGAGTAATATAAAGAGGGGCTTTTCTGCACCCCAGCCCTGCTGATAAACAGCAGACAGCAATGGCTTCATATGCACGTTCTGTTCACATAAGCTGACGGGGGGACAGTGCGTCCTGCCTGCTCCGTCGCTGCGGTGGGGACCTGGCCTGTCAGAGACCTCAAACGGGTCGTGAACATCTCAGCCTCGGTGTGCAAGATGGTGGCCCGCAGCTCCCGTCTCACCACCTTCACCATTACAGTCTTCAGAGCTCACGTCTCTCACCACTGAGATCTTCAGCAAGGTGCCCATGATGGATGCGAGTCAACTGAGCTCGGAGCCCCATGGCGCTTATAGGATTACGTCGTGTGGTCGACGTTCCCATGGTAATAATCACCTGCGACGGCATAGCGTGGAGTTTTCAAAGACTTTCTGGACATTGACTTATTTTATTTATAAACAGGCGTGTCAAACGTGCACGGTGACAATGAGTTTGTCATGGGTCTAGATCAGAGGGCCAGACACAGAGGCTCCATTCTCTGTGCAGAGAGAGAGAGAGGCTGGGTGCCTGTCCCCTCAGGGCAGCCCCCGTCATGCCCAGCTCATCATCAGTCACCAGGGCCCCCCATGTGACACGTACAAGATGCAACTCTCCTAGTGGCATGATAGAAGCATTTTGTGTTTAGTGGCATTGCCATGGAAACGCTACATCTCACACAATGCATGCATTTATGGAGTTATTTTAAAGGACCAACTGGGCATTGCTATCTTACAGTGAAGGAGTGTTTTACTGTGATTTTCAATGATCCATTATATGGCAAACATCTGCGCTGCAGGAATCAAGAGGACCCATGACGACAGGGAATCCCCCCCCCAAAAAAAAGCTAAACATAGACCTTTTTCTGGAAATTAGCACTGGGCCATCTGTCTGAACTCAGAGATTAAGATGTTATAGAACAAAATGTCTGGGAGGGAACGGGGCAAGTTTGGAGAATGATAGGAATGATAAAATGCACACGGGACACCAGAGCACGAGGCGAGTGACCGACATGGCAAGGCGGCCCAGCAGGTGTAGGGGCCCGAAGAAGGGGCCCAGCGCAGGGGCCGGCCCCCGAGATCTGTGCATTCGAAGGTAAACTGAGGGAACGTTACAATATGGCTTTAATGAAAAGAAAAGACGCTCTACCTGGAGCTGATCTTGATAGAGCTTCATTGGTCCAAACTGAACCTCCTTGACTCTGTTCTGAAAAAGAGAGAAAATAAACAAATGAAACCCAGATGATTTAGACAAGCCTTAAAAAAATGTTCCTGTTCCTTTGCATCCAGCCTATCAATCCTCAGACAGCAAACTTCCTCAAAACAAACTTCACCCCTCCTTCCCTCTCAAGGAGCACTACGCAGGGCTTAGTATCCATGGCAACCCGGGCCTCTGCGGATGGCCGTCCCTGCGGAATTCCTCCTCTTCTCCGTAAACAAACCGCACACGTGAGAGCAGGTCACGTGGAAGTACAAATGCTGCGGGGTGATATATCCGACAGGGAGGGGAACCTTATGTGGGGACGGAGGGAATCAGAACCAAGCGATTCTGGTGTAACTGATGTTTATTCTCGTTGTTGCCATCACCATGACGATGGAAAACAGGACGGAGCAGCGCCAATCTGACCCTAAAAAGCGTTGCCTGGTCACTTCGCAGCAGGTGGCTAAAGGCTTCCCATGGCTCTTGAGAAGGACGGGGGCCACGGCAGGCTTCCTGATTTCAGCGGTCGATCATCTGGGAGGATAAGAGCAGCGTGGCAGTTTGGAGCAGCAGAGCCATCCGGTTGGATCATATCCCCCCCCCCCCATTCGTGTGAAGAGCTTGAGAAGAGTCAACGGGTGCAGAGAGCGTCAGCTGGGAAAGTCGCAGGGCAATTGGCCCTGGGAAGATTCGCAGAGATAAGTTGGTAAAAACCAAAGTGCGGAGCAGATGTGCAGAGCAGCGTGTCGAACTATGAACATCCACCCAGTCTGGCCGCATGTTCGCCTGTGACGTAACCCTTAGGTGTCTACAGCAGAGGGGACTCACTTCAGTGTGACAGTCACACTTGAGTTACACGTAAAGCGCACTGCATACATTTCCTGTGACGCTGCTGGACAGACGCATGGCTGCAAAAGAGAAAATGTCACGGAATATTGCGAGGGTGAACCACCCTAGAAAATTTGCTCCCGTCCGCCAGTCGGAGAATTGCACCAAGGGGGACCCGCCCCCAAAATTTATTTCTGGCTACAGGCAGACCCAAACCAATAACGGCCAGAATCTTGGCCGATCCAGGCATTATTTAATTGATCGGTACCAGTTACCACATGCCGACCGAAAGCCCAATCGATTTTATTTCCAGCGTCTGCCCAATTTACATCAGCTACGCCAGATTGTAAGGTTCCGTCACACGCTGCAGTAAGCCTGAGGCACATGGCCAGAAAACACAAACTGTCAAGCTGTCAGCTGTCTGGAAATTCTTTATGTCGGAAGGTTAAAGTAGCCCAACAGCTCCCTGCGGTGTCTGCAGAGCCGTACTTTCGAGAGAAGGTGGCGACAGAGTCGTGTAATGCGACAAATCGAATCAGGCACTTTCACAAACATCACAAGGAGGAATACTATTGACATCGCGAGGCTCACTCAGACAAAGAATACCACCTATGTGTAGGTGTATTTAAATATTTATTGAAATATTAGATTAGGCTTGGAGCCTGCAAATATAAATGGTAAATGGATCGGAAAGAAAAAAAAACAAAACCCAGAGCAGTAGTGGGTGGAGATACAGAAGACCTTCAGCGCGCACAAAACATGGAGCGGAGAGCGGCAGGAAGGCAGGGTGGAGAATAGAGACAGGCCCTCACAAGCACGCAGATTTATAGAGCTTGTAAAGATCATTATTATGTAATTAGGAGCCAACATCAAAAGTGGCCTGCATATAACATACGGCTGCGGTCTAAAGAGTGACCTCATTGCGCATTTTCTGACGATCTAATCTATGAAAACAGTCTCAGCTCCGGTAAGCTGGCGGCTCTCTGAACAGGTCAGTACAGCACCTTAGCAGCACCTACACACAGAGGCGACATTTACACCTCCCGGTGTCTGTGCTCGCGTTCGACGCGGCCGATTCTAACCTCGACACAGGAAACCCCAGGCAAGCTTGTGCCTACACCCCAGTTCGAACGGGCCGCACCGAGCCTTGCGTTTCCCAGAATGCCATGTGACAGATACGGCCGTGGGCCAGTGCAGCCTCTACTCAGCACGACCGCCTGTCACTTCCTGTCTGCTGGACGCATCCGGCCCCGTGGATCCGAGGGACCGCAAAGTCATCCACGCAAGCCGAGAGAGCGGCCTTCCACCCTCGTGAAAAACAGGAAGCGCGATGACATTGTTCGGGGCGCCCAGACGGACAGGGTCAGCGGCTTCCTGCCAGTGGCCACAGTGACCCCAGTGACCGCAGGGAGGGGTGGGCAGTGCTGGGGAGACCCAGGAACCTTCACACGAACACCATAAAGCAGCATTAGAAAAAAATAATAAATTCCACATCAAGTTAACTGGCTTCTCGCGTTAATGGGTTCAAAGAAAAAAAAAAAAGTCTAATAAAAATACAATGATAAAATTCATGGACAAAGGGCTTACCACAGTTTAAACATCATTTTACTAACAGTCATGGTCTATCTTGAAACATACAAGCTCCAAGTTGGGAGCCATGAAACCCCAGAACAGAACTACTGCAGAACTACAGAACACTGTGGATCAAAAGGGGGAGGGGCCAAGGGGAGAGGGAGGGCAGGGGGACAGCCAGCGCAGTTCAGCACTGTCATGATTCTCAGGCGGCAGCTACGATCATCTGCAAAGCCAGTGATCATCAAAAAGCAAAAGCAGGCCCCACTGAAATCTTACCAGCAGCATGTACTATCCAGTCTTCCACACCAAGTAAGTCAATCACTGCAGCAATAAATGGCAAACTGAAGATCTCGCTTTGGGTGCCGACCAGGAGAGGAAGCCAGCTTGGAGCTCCCTGAGCTCCAGGGATTCATGCAATGACGTGAGGAGCAGGTTGGGGGGATTCAGCTAGAAGATGCGTATAATCGATGGAATAGTCCAAATGGTCTTGTTTGAGGATGAAGAATGGCTTCCGTTCCCAGCCTCAGGTGGCGTCCCCCTGCGCCAGCTACTGCCCTTTGAGCCGAGCCAAGAGGCAGTATGGGAGAGCGACAGCGCTTCAGCTCGGAGCCGAATGGCAGGCCGGGCGTGCTTTTAATAGCTGTGGTGGACACACTGTTATGACAGTGCTATTCTTCAGAGAGGCGTTTAGCATTAGATGTGACACACGGGGGGGGAGAGGGGGACACAGGCATGATCTCAGAGGTCCAGCAGGAAGCTACCCAAAGCCCCAAGCCCACAACTTTCCCAGCATGCCCAGCTCATGTAAACAAAAACATGCGTCGACAGGCCTTTCATATCCCCAACTGTCAATACAGCTTCCATTTATAGCGTCCCTTCTAACATGTTATCCAATTTCAGTCTGAAGTTCAAAGGTGATCTTTGACTTGGTATTTGGGTTTACAGACACTTCAGAGTAGAAAAAAAAAAATCATAGGAATTCTTGCACCACACAAAGCCCACGTAGAGCCACTGAGAACAACGGTCCAGAGAGACATCTGCCCTGTCCATCACTGACCTGAGACGCCAGAACGATAAGCACACCCAACAGCACGGCATCTTGGGAACACGTCGACCTTGGGCCACCCGTCCTTTCTCCCTAACTCCAGCAGATAAATGGTGCCAGCGATAGACTACACACAAACCGCGTCAAGACACCACATATGCAGCACACACCCCCCCGGTTAGGAGGAAGATTCCCAAAATATTAATTAAATCTGCGCTTTCTTGTCATTAGTGACCACAGACTGTCATGGGAAGCCTTAAAAATCGACCATCCATTCATAGCTACTTATCCAGTAGGTTTCTTTAACTGGTACCTAGCCTAACTAGGCACACATACTAAACATATGTACATCATAAAAGTTACCAAAGGGGTTATGAGCCAAGAACACACAATCCTGAGAGATGTGGATAAGATCAACCAAGACGATGTCAAATCCAAGAGCAAAACCAGCTGGGGACTAGGGCTGCCAACTCTCACGCATCTGGCTTTCACGCTCACGCAAGAAATCTTACGGCAAATCTATATCATTCCATTATAAACCTATAATTAGCTACATCAAAAGCGCTGGGGAAGTTTGCAAATCCTACAGACTGTTTACAAGCTAATAAAACTGTTACATACATGTAAATCTGTGTGTATGCGAGTGCAGACTTGTCTCGAATTAAAAGTCTCACGCCAGGCAGCTTATCAAAGTTGGTAATGTTGACTAGTTCAGATCAAAACAAAGAATGTCTTTCCACCGAGTCGGGGGTTTGGTATTAGGCTCCTAGTGACACTTTGAAGACAACCACGGATTTTCTGAAGGCAACACCAAATAAATCAGGAAAAATGCAGACTGACAAAAAAAAAGGTTGAATTTAAAAACATTGTCCACTCTTGTGACCAGACACATACTGGGAGAAGTTGGGAGTCGGCTTACAAGCAATATGCTCTGGGTCATGTGATCAGACTGCTGCTCTCTCAAAGGGCTTTACTTGCTTCGCACTGCATGATGGGTAATACACAGGTTTACCACACAGCAGTAAATTACCATCACAGCTCAGGAACAGTTTGTTAATAGCCACTCATGTCAGCTTGGGTTCTGTAACAGAGATAAATTACAGATATCTACTACTGTCTCTCATTCATATCACAATCAAAACACACAAACAGAGGGAAGTATGTAACAGCGCACTTCTGCTCTCCAGACTTCATACTTTGCAGATATCAGTTTCCAATCTCTCTCGCAAACACACAGATGTCAACCCAAACAAATCAGACTGATCTGTCTGCTACTTCACCCCTATTCTTAAAGGGACGGTGCCCTATAGCCACTCTCAAAATATTGCACTTATCAGAGCAATCTGAAGGAGCATTTTGTGTTTGTTGCTGCACACACATGCCAGAAGGTGAGATACACTCCATCCCAGGCAGATACCAGTGACACCATATGACAGATCCTCCTAAGAGACGGCCAAAGCCGGCCTGACCTCTCCTCACGAGCCTACGGGGAGGAGGATCCTCCAGAGAGACGGCCAAAGCCGGCCTGACCTCTCCCCATGGCCCTACGAAGAGTTAT